AAGTGAATACCATCAAGTAAAGCTGTCATTCATCTCCCACCAGGTGTGGACAATGTCCTGAAGAGTACACACCAGGCAGCCCTAACCCTAAAGCTATTAAAGAAGTTAGACATCAGACCACAGCCAATGTTTCAACCGCAAGGAGTCCCCATTGAGCCACTAACCCTGTTCCAGAAGATGGGGGTGGGACAGCTGGATTTATACATCCTCAATCCTGGCAAAAACAGCCAGGAGTACCAGACATTCATGCAAAACTGGCCTGATGCAGCACCATCAGCATCCATATCACAAACTGTCCCTCTCACTGCCCTGGCCTCAGTGTCTGCCTTGCTTGTGTGGCATCCTGCGTGCCCTCAGGAGAAGGTGGTCAGGGTCCTGTTCTCTGGTGTTACCCCACAGACAAAGCTGTTGCAGGGGCTAGAGAAGCTGAAGGACCTGGCCTTCCTCCAGAAACCCACAGTGACCACCGGGGACCTGGAAAGGCTGGGGGAGGACAGAAAGGCCAAGAGGACAGAGAGCCAGGAAAGTGGCAGGTCACAAGGGAAGGAAACAACACCCAAACATGGGAAAGAAAAGGGGGTTAAAGAAGATGGTAGGGAGATATCAGTGAAAGAAAAAAGAAAAGCATCAAATGGAATTGCTGCAAGAGATGCTGATAAAACCAAAACCAAAGAGGTGGGTGCAAAGCAAAAAGTATCAGAGAAGACTACTTCAAAGAAAGGAGGGAAGAATGGGAAAAAGGAGGAGAAGACTGGCAATAAGGAGGAGAATGGTATTATGAAGAATGGTCAAATGAAAAAGAATAATCCTCCTTCCAAACCAAAGAATGAAAATAAAACTAAGCTAAAAAAGGAAGCAAAAAATGACTCTAAGACAGGGGTGAAGAAAATCAGAAAGGCATCAGGAAAGGAGGCAAATGATGACAAGAAGGCCCATGTCAACACTGAAATGCCAAATAACTCAAGAAAACCTGATGCTGGGGGTGTTGTAGAAGTCCCAGAGCCACAGTGCCCTGCTACAGAGCAGCAGAAGCACAAACTGGAGAAAAAGCCTGAAGAGAACCCCAGTTGCTCCAAAGCATCGACCCCTGAGGATATGACAGCTGATTTTCTCAGGCTGCGGAAGGAAACTGAACGAGAAGAAGTACAGATGGAAACAGCTGATACAGGAAAGCAGAAAAGTAATGAGTCGGGAAATGAAAAGAGCCTTGGAGGTCTGAGAAAAGAGGCAGGTAATGAATCTGTTGATACACCAGGCGAACAAGCAGCAGGTGGCACAGGGATAATGGGAGGGGAGAGAGGTTATAATGAAGGGAGAGAGAAGTCTGAGACTGGTGAGAAAGCTTGTGTAGATTTGCAGAAAGGGTCTGTAGACCTGCCTGAAAACGCTACCAAACCAGCAAAGGTTATGGGATTTCCATCTCCCTTGAATACAGCCCCAAAGAAAGAGCGCACAGTCCAGCTAGACCTAACCCCAACTGAGTACACCCTCCTAGATGGGGCTTTGAAGTACAGCCCTCCCTCGCGATCCTCTCCAGAGAACCAGGCACATGTCAGCCCAGATGAGCAGACTGTAGAGCCGGCGTCACCTGACTCACGGCCCAACAGTGCAGGCCACACTCCTTACTGTTTGTCCCCAGATGATGTGTGGTGCAAAAAGTCCACTCTTAGTAGGCTACAGGCCCAAATGGGTAACCTAGAGTCCACTGAACCCAACAAGTCAAATGGTTCATCCAGACAAAGTGAGAGTCAACTGTGCCAGCCAAAAAGCACACCAGAGATCCACACAAACCCCAGAGAGAAGTATCCGATCTTCCTTTCTTTGGGTACATTTAAAGATGCACCTTCAGACCCCTCTCCCTCTGTGGCCACCACCACTACACATTCAATGCCAGCAGAGGTGAGCTCACCTCAGTCCACAGAGGTAGATGAATCACTGTCCATGTCCTTCGAGCAGGGGCCAACCACTGTGAGCCAGAGAGAGGGGACTGACAGTGTTCATCCCTCCCATTCCAATGGAGGCCATTTTGTGGGGATGTCTTTATCAATCAAAAAACCTCCAAGATCTTCAGAGATGGGGCGACCTCCAGCTCCTAGCATGCTTCATTTAGAGATGTCACCTAATGATGTGGATCTTTGTCTGGTTTCTCCTTGTGAGTTCAAGCATTTCAAACCTCCTGATTCCAGCTCAGGTGCCAGTGAACCCTCCAAAGGCACTTTTGCTCCACATCATAATGGCAGCAACAATAACAACCCCAAGGACACGTCACCTAGTGAATTAAATGCCCCTGTCTGTATGGAAGACTGCCCGTCCACCACAGCTGATGGAGCTCTAGACTCCGATGAGGATGAGTCGTGTAGCGAGCCATCTAACACCTCTCACAACCTTCACACATGCCAGGCCCTGCCCCCGGACCCTCTTCCAGCCCCCCGCAAGGACAGTCCACCGCTGCCCTCACATCCTGGCACCTCCATGCCTGTTCCTCAGTCTGACTCAGGTGCACAGGGGAAGAGAGCAAAAGCCAGCAACATGCAAGGGAAAAAACCACCAGGGGTGAGTCTTATCAGCATAAAAGCAAAGGATGCCTGAGCTCACTTCAGACAGACTCGGGCCAGTTATTTCACTGTTTCCTGTCTATGTGCTAATCAGCTGCTGGCCCTGACCTCATATTGAACAGTAATCATTTTTTATGTTATCAGATTATTGAGGGCTCCCAAAAATCAGGCTCAGGGAAGAACAGGTCCGGGAGCCAAAGTGGAGTCAAAAAAGGGAACGTCTCTTCTACACTTACACATTCCTCCACCACCCAGTCAGCAGCAGCTAAATCCCCGCCCAATACAGGCAGAGTTGTTTTTCCTATCCTTTATTTATACTTACACAGTTACTTTTTTTTCTAAGTGTGTCTACTGTTTCTTTTCATTTAGTGCCTTTTATCCAGCAGTTTCTTCTTCTCCCTTCTGTCACAGGCCCTAAGTCTACCTCTGTAGATGAAGTCAGTGTGTACCTGGATTTGGCCTATATTCCCTCTGGAGCCTCCTCCCAATCAGTCAATGTGGACTTCTTCAGGTGTGTTCGTTCCTCCTGCTACATCATCAGTGGCGACAGTCCAGAGCGGGAGGAACTTATGAGGCATACACTGGACGCTCTGCTGGACGGAAAGATATCCTGGCCTGAAACTATGCAGGTAGACACACACAGTTGTGTTCAGTACAGTGAAGCATGTGTTGTTGGGTCTCTCGTTGCAATGAGCTCTCCTGAAGAAAAAGCTTAGCAGAAATATTTAAGCACTGTGTTGTTTTAGCAGTAATAGTTACTGTATATATGTTGTCAGCAGTGCAGCTCCATGAGCTTTAAATAGCACATAATGTAGCTGTGTAAATGTTAGATCCCAAAATTCAGGAGTAGGCAGAGGTGCCTGGTTATGGGTTAGGATAAGCTGATTGAGGTCAAGCATCCTACGGCACAGCTGGTTAGGTGTTAGGGTGACGGTTAGATCTGCTACACATTTCTAGCCATTAGATTAAAGACTTCACCTCCTCCAGAATCTACTCCCTACTGGGCTCTAACAATGACCAATATAGCTGACTGACGCTAGCTGTTGTTTATTGCAACAAAAAAAATCTTTATTTTAGCTTAGTTTAGTCCATGTGCTTTGTGATAGCACAGCTACAGCTAAGAGTTGTGGAGCTGTAGTTATTAAATGCTAACACGGCGCTTGAATTTTTATTGTCCACTAAGGATATCAACACATGACCGAACGGACTGGAGGTTAAATGTGAGCAACTTTTTGTTCATGATCCTTTTTTCTGTATCTCCAGGTGACAGTGATCCCTACATTTGATTCTGTGATGATGCAGGAGTGGTATCAGCAGACACTGGACAGGCAGAGGGAGCTGGGCATCACTGTCCTGGGATCCAACAGCACTGTAGCCATGCAGGATGAAACCTTTCCTGCCTGCAAGATAGAGTTCTGAGTAATGCTGTGAGATGCAGCAGTGGAGGGTGAATATGATTTAAAGGATGGAAATGTGTGTGTGAGAAAGAAAGACTGGAAGGAATGTGCGGCAAGAATAAAAGTAAAACAACTGAATAGGTAATAACTTGGGATGTTCCCTTCTTTTTCGTCATCCGAGGAGAACATGCAACTCTTTGGGGAGTACTGCATGATTTTTTTGGATCCGTGACCCTGTGCAAAACAGGCGATGAGAGCCAACTGGCTGCAAGACAAGCATACTGGGCTGCAGACATGTAGATCCACAAGAAAGCTGATGTTGCAGATCAGTCAAAATCACATTAAGCTGTGTGTATAGCTGCCTGGGCTATGTTTCTGGGTCTATTGTGCTGCTTTAACTGTAACATTCAGCAGTCCAACCGAGGGTAATTAAAGGATAATTCAGCTAATCACTCAGCTCAAGGTACCCTGTGCTGTACCTTCCTTAAAAAGTATTGTGCAAAGCAACGGAATGATCACGTCTATGCTGCTAGTGAATGATAATTGCGTGCTAAGTTTGAGATTCCTGATTCTGAGCGTGCACATATGAATGTAATCCATTCCAGTGCTTTTGTAGAATTATGCACTGAGTAGTTGTCTAACTAAAAACAAACCCCATTAAAAGTCATGTATTTTGATTGTGGATATGATGGATATAATCATATGGTATATTGTAGACAAATGTGGTTATTATCACAGTGGGTGGTAATGGGAGCTTTCCAAGCTGCAGCTTGTAAATAAGAATAAATAAAGAATCTGATTCTATTTATATGTGGACATAAAGTAATCCTGAAAGTCATCCAGAACGACTATGCTGTAATTAGATGAACTACAGTAAACACTATTTTACAACTCCATAATTTCTTATCCTGAATAAACTATTGGTTTATTTTATTTGGTACTATAAGGAAAATAGGCCTCTTAGGAAAATACAGCCCTGCGAAATAAAATGTTACCTTGTACACTTTAAAATTCAAATGTGTAATTGGATTACATTTTAACCTCTCCAGACCTGTCTGTACATTGTTTTCCTTCTTATGGCCTTTCATACCAGGCTGGATATTCAAAAATGAATGTCATATGTTGAGATGTGTAAGACTTAAACTATGATTATCTGTGTTGCTGTTTTGCTTTTAAATGGATTAGTTCAAGCAAATGTGAATGTGGTGTATGGTTTCCTCAGTACCAAAGCATGAGATTAAACAAAACACAACATAACTAATTTCCTCTCCATCTGAATGCTGCCTCCAAAATAAAAAGAAAATTCAATATCTCTAAATGATCTGAAAGACATTTTGTAATTATATAAATTCACTGTTAAACTTGTATCATGAATGCATTTTTTTTATTTTAATGCAATCAATGTTTTAAATCAATTACTCACAATGGTGTAAAAATCTAAATTTTCACAAACCAAATTCATTACAAACCTGATAGGTTAAATCATTTAGGGGGATGGGAGGTTGAACTAGGTCTGTATGGGCAACAAACTGAACAAGACTGTAGCCAAGTGAACTGTTACTATGTGTATGTGTCCTGCATGTATCAAATGTGCACTGTGTTGTTCCACTCATGATATTTATGGAGGCAGAGCAAAGCACCGAGGGTGAGCGGAGACAGAGCGTGGGGATGTACTGTATGCATTGCCGGGCCTGGAGTAACGTATGAATAAAGAATGTCCATCACCATTTTGGAGAATTATGAATATGCAGGTTCTTCAGTAATGCAGGCTTGTGGATATGAAATAAACCTTTTAATTATTTAGTTGTACCATTTGATGCTCAGGCTCAGGGATGTTCTAGGATTTGGAGTTTCATTCCAACCAATGATACTCCTTTCCACTTTGCCAAAAGGACACAATGTAAAAGTCAATATAAATATACATAATCAGTTTACTAAAGATTTCTGGTTGTCAGTACTTACAAACTGCACTTTGTCCAATTCTGGCAATAAGCTTATTTTAACAGTCCACTATGTAACTGCCAAAATCACCTTGTTATTCATAAGGGATGTTAATACTGGATGAGCTGCATAGTCTTAGCAAAACAGATTTTTATAACACTTTAACACCCTTTTCCATGATGAAATTCCCAGGATGTGGTGGTGGTGGAGTGTTTTCATGTTCTTCAGAGAAACTTGTCACAATTCCAGTGAGAATTTTGAACATTTTAGTAAGAACCTTAAGCAAAACTAGGCTTACCAGGCAGTGTTCAGGTAGACAGACGAAGCAGAGAGAAACTGTGGTGCAATCACAGTCCATAGAGACCAAAAACAACCTGGAAACAAAACAAACATCCAGGTAACGAGGGCAAAAACAAAAGGGAAAGTCAAACAGGAAGCTGAGTTCAACACTGTTAATCCAAGAACAGAAGACAAAAGAAGATAATCTGGCAGACAAGATGACAAAAAAGTACTGGGGAGCTGATTCATTGGAAAGGGGAGAACAGGTGTGGGGGGTGTAGGAATTAGGGCTTGGTAATGAGGGGTGAGAAGCAAGTCAAGGTCAAAGGTCAAAGTGTTTATTTGTCATATGCACAGTTAGGAAATGTGTTTCTCTGTACAATGAAATTCTTACTTTGCCGTCCACATGAATGCCACACAATACAAATGTGTGTGTGTGTGTGTGTGTTGTTCTCTTCTATTTTCAGGCGTTTCTCTCTAACTGAAAGTGGACATGCAGTTAGCTGTGTCACTTACTTCCCTGATTCTGTTATAAAAAACCTCTTACTCATGCTTCAGACATGAGTGAACAGTTCAAGCCCGTCAGACTTCACGTCTGTAAAATAGCATAAATTAACAGTATCTTATCTATCGTTTCCAGAACGACACTTATATGTGCAATCTATTCTTGCACAATTATCCAAGAAGATGAGAAATACTACAAGTTGACTCGAAGCTGAAAATTATAACTATAATGCATTTATAAGAGCCAGGTTAATACTGATACATGGTGCTGTTAATGAAACACAGACAGTCATACTAAACTTTATCATTATAAAAGCAAAATAATACTAACAGTAAATAAAACAACTGTAACTCCTGAAATCCAATCCTAACACACAACACTTAATATATTTAAGTGTTATAGAAATCTCAGCCGCGATAGTTTTTACACTTTGTAAACTTCCAGCTCCTACATCTCAGAGGAATCTTGTTTGTACTGTTACTTCACCACAGAATCCTATTGGCCTCAGTTATCTATTCAATGTATTTCAAAAGGCTGGAAACTCCTACAAAACCTGCAGTGCAAAAGTCCACTTTCGGTTTTGTTTTCGTCTGATCCTCGAGGGAGTAACACGCAACCACTGAACCACAGCGGCCATCTGCGGTTTGGCGCAACACCTTTTTTTTTAACCGCAGGTGAGTTAAATAACCCCTATAACTTTAACAGTAGCTTATTCGTTAGGCTATATTCATATAAATCAAATCTTTGTCGGAGGTCCGTTTTTAACATCCTCATGGATAGACAGTCGGTTGTGGTGGATTTCTGGCTCCTGATGTTTCTTTCGCTTTCTGTTTTGCAACTGAGAAACACTTTGTGCTCTAACATAATCTTTTTAATAGTCAAACATAGCTGTGGGATTTAGCTATTTACAAGAAGTGCAACTGTAGTCTTATAAAACAGTATCAATTCTCCTTTAATTTTGTAAACACTGATTCATTATGAAACTAGTCCCGTTTGAAGTGACAAAGATACGCAGAATGTCATGGTCTGGTCCTTCTCTTCCTATTTTTTGTTGGTTTTCTCTCCTGATTTCCTGTCTTTCCCTGTCTTTCCCTGCTTGTCACGTCCTCAGCCAGCACACGTGACATTGTCACGTGTACCTGCTGCTCATTACCTCCCAGTTCAGCTCTGGTGTGGGAGAGACTTCTTTAGGTGACTAAATAACAAAGTCGCATACTTGATCTATTAGGATTATTAGATTTCTTTTAAATCCCCCTTTTTGAATAATTTACTTGCCAATACAACCTTCGTGTCTATATTATACTGGAAAATGTTATGTTCAGTATTAATGGTTTATTTATTGACAAAGCTTTAATACATTATTATAATAGAAATCCTATATAACCTACTGCTTATAAACACAGTGCTTACAAAGGAATATTACTGAATATAAAGTTTACTGTATGTAGGACACCATTTTATACATTTAGAAACTTATTTACTGGCATCACACATGTCAAATGTGATTTTCAGATATATTTCACATGATGTAAGACATCACATGTGAGAGCAAGGTTTCTCACACATATGGTCACGTGGTGAATGTTCATTTAACAGTGGTGAAATCCCATATGACATATGCACAGGTGATGACATTCTGATATTTCACATGAAATGTAAACATTCACATGTCATGCGATGACTTGAGCTGTGGCTTTCTTGTAAAAGAAATGTTTTGCCCTGTAATATAACTCTATCATAATATCTAATCATGGTGCTGCATCCTGTGTTTAGACAGCCTACCCTCCATCATGTCAGTAATCAAATCTGGCCTGGCTAAAGACCAGCACAACAAGCTGTGCTCTCTCCTTGGTAACGTCAGACTCCACCTGCTCTACAAAGCTAGCGTCCATGGCTTCACTGCTGCTGGTTTCCATAACCGCTGTGACAAACAGGGCCCCACTGTGATTGTCGCTTACAATGCTGCTGGGTTTGTTTTTGGAGCCTACACGTCTAAAGACTACACCCAGTGCGGGCAGGCCATCAACGATGAGGTGGCTTTCCTATACAGCATCAGTGCAAATGGAGGCAGGCATCACCGGACAGTGCGCCTTCACAGATGTAGCCACTGGTCCACATTATGGTGCTCTGGTGTTCCTGCATGAGGACAAACCTGTCATTCTGTCCAACCCAGGGACGAGTTTCAACTTTCAGGCAGCAGCAATGCACGGAGATGACTTGACACTGACTGAGTTTGAAGTGTATCGAGTTGAAGGTGTGTGAGGAGTTAAGCACTGCCTATTACCAACTTTAATACACAATGGTATACTTTCAGAAACAGACAAGCTGTTGACACCTGACCTATGAATGTTGTGTATTTTACAAGCGTAAAGAACATGATTGGTCAGTTTTTATACTAAATTAGGCAGTAACATGTTTAAAATATGAAAGAGATTGATTGGATGAATATTAGAATTAAATAAGTCAGCATGTTATGGTTTATTTCCTGCAGGTTTGGGGGAACTCCTGGAAAAACCCTGGAGGAACATCCAGTGGACTGCTGAGTATGTAAAAGTCTCTGGCAGCTTTTCCCATTAATAAAAGTATTTTTGTATAATATACAAAGATATATTGAATTCACACATTTTATTCTTGAGCTGTAGCCTAGTGGAATAGCATGAAACCTAAAACTTTGGTGTGTTTATCTTCTCAGCTGGCTGCAGCGATGCAGAAGTGTTGCTACACTGTGACATCAACTTTCAAGCTCTCTAAATTACACATATCAATTAAACTAACACATGCAGCTAACACATGCTAGACCTGTAAATGTGGTCTACTGTACATCATTTCTGTTTCTTCTAGGAAAAAGCAGCAGCTGACCAAGGACATCCTGAACTACAAGCCTGACATCAAAACAGTTAATCAAGCTCGGGTACTGCTGGTGGGCCCGGTCGGGGCCGGCAAGTCCAGCTTCTTCAACTCCATTAACTCAGCGTTTCGGGGCAATATGACCTCCCAGGCCATCGCTGGTACAGCAGATAAAAGTGTGACCACTCAGGTACCGGCAAAAGTTTTGCTTGATGAAATATTTTGCTGCTGTTAAACAGCTGAATCAGAGAAGAGCAAGAAAAATGAAAATCACTACTTACTTATTTGTCCTATGTCATATAAAGGAGTTTCCATTCCTTGACTCTGTGTCATATGGATGTAAAACGGACTCTACATGCTCTAATTATACATGTTCCATTACAGTACATTTCATGTGTCCTCTGTAGTTTCGTCCCTACACCATCAAGGTAGGGAATTTTTTTTTTTCCTCTGATCCTGTGTGACACAATGGGGCTGGAGGAAACTACTGATGTTGGTTTGAACATTGAGGACTTGGTCAGCATCTACAAGGGTCACATCAAGGACCGCTACCAGGTCTCCCATATAACCAGCTACCTAGTTGCCTACATCTGTATGTAACTGATTTAATGGTAAACATGCAAAGTACTGAGTGATTAATAATACACGTTTTGTCTTTCAGTTTAATCCCTCTGCTCCGCTTTTGGAGAATGCCCCTGGCTACAAGAAGAATGTGACTCTGAATGACATGATTCACTGTGTGGTTTATGTGGTCGACACCTCCAAGGTCTCTCTCCTTACTCAAAAAATGCTGGACAAGTTCGCTGCCATCCGCAAAAAAATCAACCAGCTCGGTTAGCTAATGCTGTTTTCACAATGGCTCCACTATTTTACCTTCCATATCTGGATATTTTTTATAGTTTATCTAATTTTTTATGTAATATTACAGATATTTCTAACTTGTGAATTTGTTCTCACATCTCTTCACTTCTGATCCCTTGTAGGAATTCCTCAGATACTCCTGATGACCAAAGTAGATGAGGCCTGTCCACTGGTGGCAAAAGACTTGAAGAATGTTTATCGGAGTGTTTATATCCAGAGAAAGGTAATGTTTTTACAGCCATATATCAGATTTTGGTGGAAACTGGTTATGGTGGTACTGATAACTACATGCTTTTGTCTGGTTGCCTTCCAGGCGCGGGAGTTGAGTGATTGCCTGGGCATCCCCCTGTCCTGCGTGTTGCCGGTGAAGAACTACAGCGTGGAGCTGGACCTGGACCAGGACACTGACATACTGCTCTTTAGTGCTGTGAAGCAGATGCTGAACTATGCGGACAGCTTCTTTGAGAACCAGGTTGTTGAGGCCCCTGAGGTGACTGATGAAATGGAACTCTACAGATCAAACGATCAACTCCGCCCCACCTTAGAACGTACTCAATACAATGTTGTTTAAAAGACACAATATTGTCAATTTCCTAACCTAACTAATGAGTTTGTAGATCAAACCCAATAATTTTTTTTTAAAGTAGAGCCTCCAAAGTTTTTCACACATGACCACTCTTTTCATTTTTAGTAGCTTTTATTGCACTTGCTGGGTTTTTCTGATTAAAATGTGTGTGCAGTAATACCGAGTGGATCACTCCATTCTCACTCTTTTACTTTTGTTGTTTTAGTCACAAACTGGCAAAAAATGTTTGTACTAACTTTCTGGTGTTTTGTAATGTACGACTTCAAACTCCTGTGACTTTCAGTTTTGCATTAGTGGAACGGTTGCACAGACTTTTCTTTCCCTCGGTCTGCCACTAGATGGCAGTCATTTCCAAATCACAGGTGTTCAGTTATGAAATTTAAGATGTTATGCAAAGAGAAGCAGTGGTGGAAGAAGTACTCGGATTCTTTACGTAAGTACCAGTACCACAGAGTAAAAACACTCTGTTACAAGTACTATATTCAGAATGTAAGTAAAAAAATATTAGCATGAAAATATAGTTAAGTAACAAAATGAAATGTACTCATTATGCAGACTGGCACATTTCACATTATATAGTATTACTGGATTATAGTATTATTGTGCATATCATATTTAGTGCTGCAGCTGGTGAAAGTCCAGCTTAAGTGCATACAACACAAATTACTGCTGTGTAGCTTGTGAATTTTCCAATTATGATCAATAAAGTCTTTGACTGATTGACTGATTATACTTTATTTTAATATTCTGACTCTGAAAGTAACTAGTAACTAAATATTTGCCTCTAAAATGGGTGAAGTATGAAGTAGCAGATAATATTCTAGCACAAGTTTGTACATAAGTACTTGAGTAAATGTACTTAGTTACTTTCCACCTCTGAAGATGAAGCTTATTCTGCATAATTGTTTCTGACAAGGTCATATGCCCATTTTTATTGTTCTGTTTCTCCACTGTTGCATGATACTGTATGTCAGATTGATATAGCCAACGTGTTTTCATGTTGTGTCATCACGCGGTGTGACACAAAAATGATTTAACCCCGGAGCCCACATGACAAAGTCAGATGTTAAGGGGTTTTTTGAGCCAATGGAAACACTCGTGCAGTTTTGGCACCGCCCTCTTCTGAGCGCCGGTATAAAGACTGTCGCAACGTTGTCAACAACAAACTCTGCTAACACACTGTTGCAAGGACTGAACACACAGTGGGGATATTGAAATCATCGGACTACAAACACGTCTTTTCTCACAGGGATTATTTTTTGCGAAGATGGTTCCAGATGAAAGCTTTGTGTCCATCGAAAACAGGTGAGCTTTCTTGCACACTGTGCCAGATTTAGCGCTACAGATAATGCAGTTTGCAAACGCATGTCAACACATAGAATAAACAGAAAAAAGTAAAATCCGTTTGCTTACAAGGCTTAAAAAAGATTTAGAAAACAACAATTTCTCTTATACTCAAGCTGGTTTTGGACTCCAAAAATAGTTGCACCATTTTATATAAGTGGGAAGAGAACACTGATTTGATTTTAGGGTTTATTATTAAATTCAGATAGCTGTGATTTTTACTTGGACCTTTTAATCTATGACAACAGATATTTAACCTGACCATTTATTAGAAAGGGCTGCTGCAGGCATTTGAAATAATCAACATGATTTATCACAGAATACAAATGGCTAATTGCTCTGTGTCTCCCCCTCAGGATGCAGTCGGTAGGTCTGGCTCTGGAGGAGTTGCTGGTGACAGCTCAGAAACAAGACTGCCTAACTATTGGCATCTATGAATCTGCTAAGCTTCTTAATGTGTGAGTTGAAGCTGTTAACACATACACAAGCCACTTTCATTTAAAAAAATAACTCTCCGTGACTTAAGACATCTGAGTGCAAGCATCCGCCTAAAACTCACCATGTTCTCTTTCCTCCTCAGAGATCCAGACAGTGTGGTCCTGTGTGTCGTGGCAGCCGATGACAAAGATGATGTGGCGCTGCAGATCCATTTCACCCTGTTACAGTCATTCTGTCTCGACAGCGACATCACCATCCTACGAGTCTCAGGGATTCAGCGGCTCCAGCAGTTGCTGGGAGCAGCGAATACCAAGAGAAACCAGGAAGAGCATGGCGACTTTCACTGCATACTGGTTACGGTGCGACTCAGTGCATTATTTGTCTAATATTTAACTGACAGACAGAAGTGGAAGTGTATTATTATTATTTTCATGCATTAGTCAAAATGTTGCTTCATATTCTTGGCAGTATCTGAGCAAACAAACCTTTATTGCACTTTCTGGAACCTTAGAACTACTAGTTTCTTCAGATTTAGTTTTTTTTTTGTCAATTGCAAATGCTACCTGCAGACCACATTAACCTTACCTTACTTTTTCCCATGCAGAACCCTCAGGCTGACCACTGCAGGCTGCAGGAGGTGGGCACCTACTGCCAGGAAAGCCGGCGTCTTCACCAGTGGGTAGCTGAACTGGTCCTGCAGGAACGCTGAAGGTCCTGGCTCCCGCTTACATCAACAAACATGGGAGCTTTCTGGGTGCAGATACTGATGAACTGAAGGATCATCAGGGATGACCTGGAATGGACTGAGAGGGGCTGTCCAGATTGATGACAAGCAGGAACCAAGGACTCCCTGTCATCGTCTAGTGAAAGTGGAGTGGAGCTGAAAACGTTTTTTATGATCTTTTCTGTGCAAAAGATATCACCAAGCAGATTCCCATCAAGGCCACAGTGTATTTACATTGTAAAACTAAATCAAAGCTTCTCTTTTGCACCTTTGTATGGCCACTCAGAATAGAATAGAATGAATGTATGTTACACACACAAGGAATTTTTCTTCTGGTATAGAACTGAAGGCAGCCATCTACAGCGCCAACTCAACCGATGGCTCTAACCATCGGGGACAATACGGGGCTGGGGGTGGGGGGGTGTTCAGTGTCTTGCCCAAGGACACTTCGACACGTGGGCTGCCGGCACCAAGATTAGAACCTCCAACCTTGTGGTTGGGAGACAACTGCTCTACCCACCGCACCACAGTCGCCCAAAGAAAATGACATTAATCACTATGAGGAATAGTAGCTTTGAAAACAAAACCTCCACACCCCAGCTGGCACCTGTGTGTCTGTGGAGTGGACAGGAATGTTGTGGTGAAACTATGCCCAACATTCCTAGCTATGCTGAAGCGGGAGACACCTTGGAGAGAAGGTGTGTGTGAATGTGTGGTATGCGTGGACACTACTTGTGGCTTTCTTTAGAAAAGAATAGGCGTGCGGTGTGGGCATTGTTGAAATGAACCTGAGGAGGAATGGTCACCATGGAAACTGAAACAGAAACTATGTTAGAGTTAAAGTCACACAGGATTTATTGGCATCGCAGCACCAAAAAGAAAAAGAAGAACCTGCAAAAGCGCCTTGGAAAATGATCTTCTTTGGTCAAAAGAGAATGCAACTGTTTTGATTTGATGAACAAGTCAGCTTTAAATTCTTGTCAATATCTTTGTGCCTTCAAGAGCATTGCCTTTTTGATAAAATGCTGTTTAATGAAGTGGATACACCTTAAATTTATTGTTTGTATTAGCTGTATAGCTATTTGACTGACTTCGTAACTGACTGGCTGCTTTATCAACAGGTTTCTGCTTACAGTAAATTTCAAAACAAAAGTCAAAGGTACATCATGGAGTTAGCCGAGTCATGCAACTACAGTTTACACTTGAATTGAAGTAATGGGAAAAAAATGTGCAAACATTCTTTTCAGCTGCCAGGATTTTCATAAACATAAATCAGTCAGAGAGAGAAACTGGGGTGGAGATGTACTCATTGTGTTGGAACAAACTGGTAAAACAAGCTGATGTGGTGCTACTGTCCCTCCAAACCAGGAAGCAGAGGGAAAACCTGCAGGAAAAACGCAAGCTTCCTGTTAAATATTTTGAATTCTCACAGATCATTTGCAGTGTCCCCCCCCCGTTGTGTACATGTTTTACATGATATGATGTAGGTAAATCTTCAGATGCATGTTCCAAAGGTCAGAGAGGCAAAATGTGCATATAACTCGTGGAGTAACCTCACCCATGTCACAGTATCTCTACAGTATCAGGTAGCAAGATGTTCCCGCAGCACTGTACAAATAGTTTATCCTCCCCAGTGTACTTTCCCTGTGCTGCGCTGCCCACTCCACCCTCTGCTCTCATATGTCCATTTACACCTCCAGCTGCAGAGCAGAGGGAACATTCAGGCACATGGGCCTCCCGTTTATTTACCGTTAGCTGGACAGGGGAGTGACTGGTGAGGGGACTGACTTCTGGTTGGCTGCAGTTCATCCACATTAAATCTGATTGGCTTTGACCTGTAGACAGCTCTGGGGGGAGTACGGTTTGAAACTTGAAACAGACTTGTGTCTGCTGAATCAGTGTCAAAGGCCAGAGAAACAGAGGATTTGTAACAGTGACATTCTTGTGACATGACCCAACTAGGAGACTTTAGATCCCGTCAGACACTCGTACTCAGGCAGCACAAAAACAACACTGCTGGTAATGATTAACAAGACTAAGAGTCTACAGGTGTTCTAGTAGCTCTCCGGTGCACTTAAGCACACAGCAGCTTGCCTGGCTCTGTTTAAAGATAAAAAAATAAAGTGCCTATTAGCACCTCTGAAGCTCAACCCCCCCGACATCAACATCCATGGAGCCATGCTGATAAAGTGGCTAAACATCAAAAGTTACACAAAGGCACATGCTATTATATTGTCTTTTTATTAATGTTACCTACTTCTCAATATCATCTTTTTTAAACAGCAATATCCACAAAATATTAACAGTGTGCAAGAAAACGAGTTATGGCACATCAGAGAACAGTTACAAAAAATAGATATATTTTCTTCATAATCAATCAAGGCAAAAAGATACATATACTGTATGCATACACAGGAGATCAGAACACAAAGGATGAGTCTCTGGAAGGGCTCAGAACCAACTCAGTCATGTCTGATATTAAAGTCCACCAGTGAGGAGCCTCAGCTCTCCCCGTCTGACCAGGTATGAATTTTGCCAGGCTCACTTTGTGTCACAGCCCCCACTGGTTTTCATCCCAAGCCACGTGTTCTACTTTAAGACTGTTCATTCTGTTGATCTGATAACCCTGAGACCAGCATCAACAGAATATAGGCCACCATAAGGCAAACTGACAAAGCAATAAATCAGACGAACTGTCAGCCAAGCCAGAGGTTTAGGCCTGGCTATCTCTTATTGTAAGCCCAACCAGCTATGGAATGATTGAAAAAATGATTAAAAATAAAAAGAAAATAGCATCTCTCAGACATCAACAGGACAACATCAGTGTGTGCATGTGTGTGCTGATATGATATGCATGCCTATTTTATGTTGCGTGAGTCTTCTGCAGTTGGGAATTAGCTACACTTTGCAAAAACTGGCAAATGAACTGTGTTTTGTTTCCCACACTCTTAATTCAGTCATTTCCTCAATCGTACAATAGTTCCAGTGCCGGGAAAGGTGAAGTTATGCCGGGTCAGTAATTCTGAGTAACTTCCTACCTGTCACTGTTGTTTACACTCAGGTTTCTGTTTGAGTTTCTGTATTTCTTCAGCTTTCTTCATCTCTAGAAATAAGATAAAGGAGTTTGTTTAATTTAAAGGAATAGTTTGACACTTTGGGAAACACGCTTATTTGCTTTCTTGCCGAGAGTTAAATTAGTAGATTGATACGACTTTCATCTTTGTTTGCTAAATAGAATGCTACAGCCAGTAGGTTAGCTTAACATAAAAACTGAAAATAGTGTAAAGTCAAACTATTCCTTTAGCTTAAAGGATAAGGCTGGTCTTTTTTTTATTAACAGTAATTTCGACACTCCCCATAAACAGAATAAAACCAACAATAATTTGCCTCTACTCACAGTTTATGTTTGTCAGTCCTGGATTAGCCTATTCATTGGTGCCATAGACCTTCATTATTTTTCAAATACAATTAAAAACACATTAGGGAAACACACTGATGTAATGGGTGACATATTTACTCATTACAGAACACAAGACCCTGATATCTGTTAAGAATATCCACAGATCAATGTCACTTTGGAGTGACACTTTTAACAAATATCATGGTTTGGTGTTTTGTAATGAGGAAACATGTCAACCAGTCTTTGAACAACAATGGAGGTCTGTGCCACAGATGAATAAACTCATCCAGGACTAACAGAATGATAGATATTAATCATAAATAGAGACAAATCATTGTTGGTTTTAATGTCTGTATGGGGACTGTAGAAAACACTGTTAATACAGAAAATGACTGGCCTTATCACTTAAACGAGTGTTGAAAATAAATGTAATGTAGCTGAGACAGGCACAGATAACAGAAACAGAACTGTGTGAATTTATCATTGTTGTCACTATTATTGTTGTTATTATTAGTCATCACATCAATAAATAGCCTCCCACAGTTCAACTGAGCAATTTTAGTATGTGTCAACACCATTTTTTTACTCTTCTCCAAGCTGTGCACACTAACCTTTGACTAATAAAAAGAGCAAATGGAGGCCAAGCACACGGTGTCACATGTCCTCTGGTCAGAATCACCCTGACCTGGAAGTGCAGGGTGGCAGGACTGTAAAATTACCATGTATGTAACACTCTGCACAGCACTGGAGGCAATGTAAGTTCTTATACCCTAAATCCGCCTTTTCAGGTACCAAATACACCCGATACACACCCACACACACAAGCGCACATACCCTCAGTCATCACTATGACCTTTTTCTAGCTCCTGCTCTTTCTGTGATTTGGGAACTGCCTGCTCTCTATGTTAAGAACAAAGGCAAATGAGAGATAAAGAAGAGTTTGTATCAGAAGCCATCACCTATAGTGAAAAACAAAATGGTATTTAATGATTTAACCTCACATTGTATCATCAACTGTGTTTTCTAAGGGAATAGTTTTACGTTTGGGGAAATATACTTTCTTGCAAATATTTAAATGAGATGGTTGATCTCACTTTTATGTGTGTGTATTAAAAATGAAGCTATGCCAGCAGCTGGTTGGCTTAGCTTAGCATGAAGAGATAGCCTGGCTCTGTTTAAAGGTTAAAAAAGTTTCTAATAGCACCTATGAACTCAGTTCAGTTCAGTTTATTTGTATAGCACCAATTCACAACAACAATTGTCTCAGTTCACTTTACACAATCAGGTCTAGACTGTACACTGTTATAAGGAAAACCCAACGAGTCGCCCCTGAGCAAGCATTTGGCGAAGCGTGGGGAGGAAAAATTCCCTCTAACAGAAGAAACCTCTGACAGATCCCAACTCAAACCCTAAAACGACAAACTGTTGTTTTCGAACCTCTATTTTGTACCAATTTTAAAAAATCACATATAATAGGTGAACACTGAGCTTTACAGATGTTGGCTGCAGATGTAGTTACCGTTGGACAGAGCCAGACTATTCCGGTCATTAAGCTACAGTAAGCTAAGCTAACTGGTTGCTGGTAGTAGCTTCACGTTTATTGCCGACATGCGTGCAGTATCAATTGTTTCATCTAAGTCTTAGCAAGAATGTTAAAAATTGTTTTTCCCCAAAATGTTTTCCTTTAAACACAAGTTCACAAACAGCCAAAGACACAATCTCTCTCACGCACACAACAGATGAGCACGAACTAAAAACCGCTCACCTCTCACCACCTCCAAAAACCTCTGACTCCCCAAAGTCACTATATCAGGTGGGTCACATTTTCCTGGGGATTAAAAACAGAAAATCACTGGGATCAACCCCCCTGAGAATCCATCAGCGGCCAACAGTGACACCACCCTGCTCTGTCACTGTATGTTTCTCCTGACAAAAGACCTCAGCTAAATTCTAAAGTGTAACTATGCTGGCACAGCGCCGCCTTCTTTCAAAACCAGCTCTTTTAACCTTTGACAATCATGCCTCGGACCTAAAAACGCAACTGCACAGGACAATGCAGGTGAGTGTTACCTGTATGTGTGTGTTGTCCTTGTTGTCTGTCGCACAGCTAAACCAACACTCAAATCTGTGGGCTTCTCTGGTGTTAAAGGATATATTTAGGAGGTTGGTTTTTGCCACAGGAATGAGGTCTGATGTTGACTGATCCTCTATAATTCTAAACCTAATAAGGCTTTTCTTTTTATCTTACATTGTTTTATCCTCATCGGGTGTTTGCATGTGTGATTAAAACCAGCCTCCACTATTGGAAGCCTCTAAAACCTGAATGACAACCATAATAATAATAAACAAAGACAGACATGATCCTGATTAACAGAACAGAATAAGTAGTACTAAAAAAATCCAACACCCACAGAGGGGAATTCTGTGTTTAGATTTTGTATCTTACAAACACTGTACAGGGTAATACTCAACAGACCAAGTTCCATGGACTCCATAGAAAGAAGAAAACTAAAAGAAAAATAAACCAAAAACAGCTACTCTTCAACTTATCACTTCTGCACATGTCTGAAAGAAAGTTTATACACTTAGTCTGTTTCTCTTAGCTTCATTTTTTTCACTTCATCTTCAGTTTTTACAATCAAGTTTGGTTTTTCAGAGAGGAGGCGCGGTGGAGTCTCCTCTCCACAGGAGCCAGACACAGGAAGCCGGGAGGGGACCCCCAAGCTCTTACCAATCCAGTCCCTGACCAGTTTGAATTCACTTTAAAGCAAGCTGTTATAGAGGGGAGTCTGGAAGCTTCAAAAACTGGCTTCAAAGCCAGGTTGTGTTTTTTCTAATCTGATCTATAGCCAGAATTGCAATGCATTAATAAAACACCTCTTTTTTCTACTGTAGAGGGAAAAGGAAAAACACCTCCATCCTTTGAACTATCCAATGCAATCTGTTCCTTTTTCCTTCCCTTGAAGTTACACAGCTACAAATTTACAAAAGGGAAAGCTTTATTTTTACTTTTTGGGACAGCTACACTTGTACTTTTTAATGTTTGGGTTTTCTCCTCCAGCCCTGCATTCTTTGCAGACTTAGCCTCTGACCTCGCTCTCTTTTAGGGTAAAGCACAGGGAGGCTTGATGTACAGTAGAAACCTTTGTTTATGATCATAGCAGGTATCTGGTTAGCTTTTACCTCTAGCTAACAACCAGATCTCCTGTCCCTTCATTAATATGAGCAGGAAAGGAAACCTGATCAACCAGGGTCGACACCAAAGTTAAAGAAAAACAATCAAAAAAGTACAGTAATATCTTCTGTTAAGTAATTCTTCAACAAAATATCAAAACGTACATTGAGTTCACAAACAGGTATTTCTTAAGAAAAATGCAGTAAACGTCCAGGGTTAATAGCTTTAGTTCTGTGTAGAGCGGTT